ACGACGAGGAAAATGAAGGTGTTGATTTGGCGACTGTAGTTTCGGTGGTCTGGCGCTCTCCCGAAACGCAGGTCGCCGAGTCTCGGCCGCGGCGCTCGGTCTCCCAAATCACCAAATCGCCTCAGCGCAAAGTATGAACGCGACGCTAATCTTCTCACTACACGTGGAGAGAAGATCAGCTCTCTGAGTCGCGATTTCGTCCATTGATTCGTGGATCAGAGAAAGTATCGTGAAGCGTTTATGGCTCTCGATATAGCTCCGATCGCTTTTGTATATTTCGAGTTCGTTTGGTACGTTCAATAATTACAAGTGTAATTTGACAGTAGTACTGACTGGTAGGAAAATCATCATTTATTGAATTTCAAGTGTAATGGGACATGAAGCACTTCAATTCTTGTTCCGACCTTTTCACCAAAAAACAGTAGTGACAGGCTTCCTTTGCGCTTACCAGTAACAACAAAAAACCTTGTAATTATCACAATTAATATGGACTATGGGGGATGAACATATTGCAGAAAAGGAACGACAGGTAAAAATTTAACAAAGAAAACCTAGACAAATACTATCAGTGCTGCACAAGTTCAAGCAACGTTTCAAGTCCACGAATCTACTACTAAATGTAAGTCGAATCGCGATTTAAAACAGACTAGTTGGAAAATGTCAATGAGTGTGACCAGTACAAAGAGTGCAGGCGTCCGCCGCTCTGCTACGATCGTCGGCGCCTCTGGAGGTTTTTTCCGCACGTCGTCGATCGATTCGTGTATTGCACTTCTTAAACGCTCGACCTCCTTAATCAGACCCGCGATTCTTCACATTTAATCAGCGTTCCTGGATTGAACGACCCAATACAGAACTTCGTGAGCTTCACAGCAGAAAAACCAGGCTTTGACCAAACCAAATTGGATTGAAAGAGCTACCTCCCCGGTAAAACGCTTCAGTTTAATCATGCGGCAATTACGTGACCTATGAAGTATCAGTTCCTACCTTTTCATCCCACTATGACAAGGAAATTAAAATGCGTGCTCGTGTAATCAACGAGAGTGCCTGCGATTGCAGACTGCGACATGACGAAGCTACCGTAATCCTGCGACGAAAATATTGCATCACGAAGCTGTACCACCTGGTTCATTTCGTGACAGATTTTTGTCAGCAATGGTTACAGATTTATTCATAAAACTGTTTTTCGTTCAGCTTTCTGGACTGTGATATGCATACTGAGCGCTTCATTTTGCTCCTATGATTGTGTTCTGTTTGCTAACGGGTTCGTTCCCTTGCAGCATCCTTTTGGTGATATTTCCTTGCGAACACAGGCGAAAACAACAGTTTATTAGGGCGTAAGAGTACAAAGGATCACTGAGAGCGCCACCGATTCGAGAATTATAAACTTCGAAAAGAGCAGGCGGGAAGACCAAGTATTTTTATATTTTCTTAGTATAATAGTAGTATGATGATATGTATACGATTATTTTTATAGCGTCAGTGTACGCGTATACTTTTCATTTTTTTCCAAACTTTTTTATTATGCCGGCAAACAATTAAAACTAAAATTGGTAATTAATTGGAACTAAATGTGATCTCCGAGGCGGAGGTGGTGTAGTGACAAGTGGCGCGCTTACCACTCGCGCTCCTGGGTTCGAATCCCAGGTCGACACCCGCCCAGGCCAACCAAGCCTTCTACCCTCCGGGGACGGTAAATTGGTACCAGATTCGTCTGGGAGGATAAAACACTGACTTGTACATCGGCTGGCCCCCGCATTCAATAAGCCACTACGATTCTGAATGGAAGTAGAATGCGTGCCGCATCCCACAAAGGGATTGATTAACGGCGAAGACTTTATCCTTTTTTTGGATATGATCCAACGAAACAACGGACTTTTCCGTTGGATCATATTTCTGCAAAATCTAGACTTA